ACACACACACACACACACACACACACACACACACACACACACACACACACACGAGTTAATTTGTTTTTTGTCAAGGCAGAAGATACAGAAAAATGTTTGTAGAAGATTATAATTTATAGATGCTCCCTTATAAGAGACAGTATTATCAACATAGGAATTTGTAGATGTGCCCTGGAGGTGGGGGTTGGGAACACCACAGGGCTTTGTGCAGCAGTTCATCAGAGATGCTCTCCAGCTTGTTTTATTAAAATTTTCTTCCTTTCTCATTCACTAGTTTGTTATTTAATGAACCCCAAGATCATTACAATTTTGATTTAAATCAATCCATCCTACATCATCTGTGAAGAACCAGCAGTCGAGAGGTGTAGAGCCTGCCATAAGAAGCAAGTGAGAATTTTGAGGTTGTTGGGGGATTAGGGTTCCCAACCCATTAGGATTTTCTTGGAATCTCCAAGAATTAAAGATTAATCTTTAATTAAAGATCATGGCATGTGACCAAACCTTCAGGAATACATCCAACCCAAACTGGCAACCTTATGGTGGATGTAACAATGAAAGGGTAAAGAAACTGGCAAGAGCAGGTTAGGGGGAGGTAGATGAGGCTCCTGATTTTCTCCTTCAATTTAATACTCTGAGCAATTAAACCTATCCTGAAAATACTATGAGTAAATAGCACTGCTGTTGCTATTTTCATTTATTTATAGGAATTCTGGCATTCTAAAGGTCCGTAGAGATTTGCTATTCCTGCAAGTAGGCAGTTTGTAGCATTTTTTAAATAAGCAATGTTAATAATTAATGTCCTGATAGCTCTTTGAGGTCTCTTAATTCGGGAGGTGAACAGCTCGGACAACTTCATTTTAATTGCCTGAGTTTTAGTTATACATTTACCAGGCTTTGATAGTAGTTCAGAAATACACAGACAAAGGTTAGCTTTGGATTTGGAAGTCTAGGATTAATACTTGTCTGTGCTGCATTTTACTCACATTTATTGTGCTCAGGAGTCTAATAAGGACTGTATGAGATAGAGCTGTTTGTGTGAGTTGAAGGTAAGTGTGCTTTTTAAGAGTATTGCTATTTTGTATTATATAATCAGGCATGTGTCTCTTCCATAACATTAGCTCACTCCTGTTCCTCTAGCTTGTATATCAAAGTTATTTGGTAATTATATTTAAAGAAAAAAACAAATAGACATGGAGGAAATAATGTTAGCTTTCTCTTCTGCTAGGGACTCTTTCTTGCCTGAGCTGGGTCCTGTGCCCTTTTAGCAGTGCTATTCTATGTAGAGCACCTTCCTGAGAGAATAGTTCAGGGGCTATATTCTTTTTGTGAGCTATACAATATGTGTCTGCCATGCCAGCCTCACGTGAGTGGATTTCTAGTATCCCTCGTGGTAGCAGTCTTGTGTGTGCTTCTGTTTCTTTAAGACTGTTCTGGAGGAGTGGCTCACACAGGGCTGTGTTAGCCTGGAAACGGGCAGGAAGCTGTTCTGAGCTGTGGCTGTGGCCTGTAGCTGTCTATTGTGCTGCTTTCGCCTCATTGTTGCTGGTGGGCTCACCCATCCCTTTCACATACACCACTCTTCTTCTGGGCCCCTTTCCCAGATCCTTTCCCGGCTTTAGTTGGCTCACTGCCTAGTGCTTCTTTGCTGCAGCTGCGGGACTGCTTATAACTGAGCCTCTCCACTCAGTCACTCTTAATTCTGTGCCCCTGAGCAAAGGCAGCAAGCAGGCAGCTTTCTCTTGGGCTTCTGCTGCAGCAGTGCTATACAACAACTGCCCCACCTGCTACTTGAGTGCTCTGGGTTCCCACCCCTAGGTAAGTCACATTGGGCAGCTCTCCTCAGACCTACCTGGGATCAGCTTTTGGAAGGGTGTTATGATGTAGCCTTCATTGGCATTATTGACCGAGTTAACTGTCCTGGGCCTTTCCCTTGTATTTCCTCTCTCCCCTCCCACAATGCTGTATGGAAATTCAAGTCAGGTCAATCTCTGCACAGTGAGTGTTCATTACAACATGATGGTGTAGGTAACAGATTGTTCATAAGTGTAGTGGGCTGAAATTATTGATGTTGTAATTTGATTGGTGCCCTGTTATACTGCATGCTGTTCAAACATATATGTAGTCTTTCCTGAAAACCTTACAGTTGGTTTAAGACCAGGCATGAAAGACACCATGCTTAAAGGTATGTGAAAAGAGCGGAGGGTCTATCACTCCCCTCCCAGTCACTTCTGCTCTGCCAGCCCCCCTTGTCAATTCTGCCCCTCCCCCCCACTTCACCTCTGCTCCTTCTACAGCTCCTAACATTCTACATCCACCTCTCCCAGGCTTAGGGGGAGGGCATTGCAACAGGTTTTACTGTCCCCCTTCTTGGACCTGGTATTGTAGGGAAGGCTAGGAAAAGCAGAGGAGCTGTTCTGTTGTTCACAGGAAGGGAGGAGAAAAACAGAGCTTCCCTGGGCTCTTTCTACTTCCCCTCTTCTCCAGGGTGGGGAAACAGGATGGCTTCTCTGCTCTTTTCCCCTCCACTGGCTCAAGGGAACTCTGAACACTAAGAGTAAAGCTCTGCTGTGCAGGAGATAAAACTTTCTCCAGGGGTGGTCCCAGACTGTGGAACTAATGGTCATCACGAACCCCAGTGCTACTGCTTCCAACTCAAGTTCGAGGCACGCTTCTTTGATCTTACCTTCTCTCACACACAACAGGTATTTTTTTTTAAAGTGCACATGCTCCACTTATCCTCTCCCCTACGGGGAGGAGAGAACAAAACACACAACAGATGTTAGCCATGTTGCTTAATTACTTACTAGAAGGTGCTCAGATATTATAGTGATGCATGTGGTATGAGGACCTATATAGAATAAAACAATGTCAGTACCCGAGGGGAGAGAGCTCTACCTGCTTTATGCAGCAGCCCAGGAGGCTTTCCCCATTTGCCCCAGAATATGCACAACTGGGGAAAGCCACCAGTCAGAGCAGGTTTTTCCTCAGGCTGTACTAAACATGTGTCCCCCTCCACAAGCCAACTTGCTTGTTTGAAATTTTATTTTCTGGGTCTGTGACCTGGAAAGCTTTAAGCATTGACACTAGGAGAAAAGGTGTTAGAGAGAACAAAGTTTGCTATAAGCACATGTGGGTACAAAGGTAAGTAACTGCACAACTTCATGCTTAATGGTGAATTGTCTTTGGAGGATGGAGCAAGGTATGAAGTGAGACTATGGTGAAAGAGGTAGGAGTTGTCATTGGTTGATGGACATGTGTGCTCTCTTCGTATGCTGTCCCAGCCCTGTGCAGATAGTTGGTTCAACAGACCTCAATAGTACTCTGACAGCTCCCCACACCAAGGTGCAATCTGGTGAGACAGGGGTACCACTGACCCCTGTCTCACCAGCCTGGGCTCCCTCTCACACTGTGCCTGACAAGCTGCAGACCACTCCCGGTCTTACCCCCAGAGCAGTTTGATAGTACAAACAGTCCATCAAGCCTCCATACTTGGGCAGGGCTTCCTTCTTTTCTGCCTGGGATGCTCCCCAGTTCAGTCTTTGTTCCTAAGGTGTTTCCAGGTGTTGTGTTGTAGGGGAGTGAGGCCCTGTTATGATGTCACTTCCCCCTTTTATATCTTTTTCCAACATGCTGGAAAGATCTTTTGCTGTGACCTGAGTCAAACAGTCCCCATTGTGTAGTGCTATCTCTGAGAGGTTTCTGTTGTACCAAGGTTCTGGGGTAATCCTTGTGAGGGTATGTATCTCCTCAATAGGCCATCAACATTGTTTGGCCTTTTTATTGTTGTACCTGAAAGGCTGCTTATGGGTGTTCCCAACCTCACAACATGTTTCATAATACATACATAGCAAAAATTTATAACTTCCTATACCATGATAGCACATACAACTTAACAAGATATTAATGTTCAACATGCAAAGACTTTTAGAATGATACCTCACAAGGCATACGTTGTACAAAACATATCAATATCCCCATGGTGAATATGGGGTGCAGAGTGTGTCTTTGGGGCAGAGTGTCATAAGTACTACCCAGAAAGAAAGATCATAGGCACTGTTCAGTGACAAATGCTCTTGGCCAAGTTTATTGCCCTCAAGGCACAGTCCCAATTCCCTGGATCTGTGGTTACAGGTAGGCTAATACATGAGTATCTAATGGCAAGGAGTGGCTCGGTCAGTGAATTACTCTGACATTTATGGACTGAGACAAACAACTTATATACCACCTTATTTATTTCATGGCACCTGCTTGTTACCTCCCCTTGTATCTTGCTCCAGTTGTCTCAGGCAAAATATCCCTGTTCATCACTTCTGTCAAACCCTCTTATCTGGTGTTAAGTCAGGATGTACCTTTGTTAATCTTCCCGAGTGTGTTCACATGCATACCTAGTATCTGTTACTTCTTAGGAGTGCCTGTGTTCTAGGAACACTAGCAGTACCTTTGCCAAGTTCATGTATCCGACAGTAAAACTTGTAAACATCTGCTTTAATACATGGCTATAATATGGTTCAGGCCTCAGATCTTATACCAGGCCCAGTGCTCCAGGCTCTCTCTCTCTCTCTCTCTTCCCCCTACAGGAGTATACAGAAGAATAGGATAGGTTAGAATAATGCATTTTTGCAAGTGAGTGGGAAGATAGTGGTAGAACTGTAATAGATAGAATTTGTGTGTGGCTATTATGCCTTGTTAATTTTGCATCAATTCAAAGGCCTACGGATGGAAACCTTGCTCAACCTCAAAATAAAGCACAGTAATTTAAGCTGAGAAGTATTTTCAAAATGCAAGTAACAGGTAGAGTGCTGTAAACTCTTTGAAACGGTGAGCCAAATATTTAGGGGCAATTTAAAGGCTAACAGTACTCTTTAAAAATATAAAAAAGCTTTAACATACTAACTGCAGTTATAAGAATCCCTTCACTACTAGCTGTGCACCTGCTGCCATCATCAGTTGAGAACATATTTAACTTTTTAAAAAATCAGAAATAATAGTTTATCTACTGTCAGTATAAATAGCACTGACTATTACTACAATGTAAAGCAAGGTCAGAAAAAAATCAATCCTCTTTCTTCTGTTTCCCCCCCTCTATTTGTTTGTTTTGGGAATTTGACTGTGCTTTGTGCTTACTTAGCTTGTACTCTTTCCTCCACACATTCGGTTAGCAGCTGATCTACATGGGGCAGGCACCTACACCTGTAGGTGAAGTAATTATTACTGTTATACCCTGCAGGATTGGGGTTTAGTCCACTTTCCTCATTTGTTTGTGTTTTTCCCACAGCAATATGAGACCAAACATTTTAAAAACAGGAAATTGTAACTGTAAATTCACAAGTATTGGCAGGTGATTGATAACAAGTGTAATACCTGGGTAGAAGGGTGGACTCTAGATAATTAGCCATACCCAAATCTGATCATAACCCTGGTTCCAGGGGCTCTGTTTATTATCTCAGAAAGAAACTGTAGAGAGACAACATAAAATAACAATCTCATTCTCAAACGAGATCAGGGATCGGCAACCTTTGGCATGGGTAAGCCCCCTGGCGGGCCGGGCTGGTTTGTTTATCTGCCACGACCGCAGGTTCAGCCAATCACGGCTCCCACAGGCCGCTGATCGCTGCTCCAGGCCAATGGAGGTGGCGGGAACCAGCGGGCCGGACAGCCCGCCGCCCCCCCCGCCTTCCAC